TTTTGATTTGGTAAACAGTCTCTTTCGTTGAGCATTGCCGCAACATTGCACATCGATAATTACCCACATCAAGTTGTTTTAAAATTGAGTCAATTTTAAAAAGATGAAAAAAATCCCAAAGAAGCAAAATTATCGTTTTTCTAGAATTCTCAATACATGTACATCTTCATAGTTAAATTTTCATAACCTCTCCTCGTTACTATATTATTACAGTACAGGTTTATGCATCGGATTCCATTGTCTACTTGAAGTAAGGTACCAATATTTAGCCCTAATTTCGTAGAAATTAAAATTTAGATTTTTAATCTAAGTCAAAGTCAACAACTAATTTTAACCACATATTTTATGAGACCCAAAACTTTTTGATCACACATTTATCAACTTTTATCAAAAGTTATTAAAAAAATTGATTTTAATCCATACCAAACAAGGGCTTAGACGCTTAGTCCTACTTCTGGGGGATAATTTTGAGCACGTATAGGTTTGAAATATATCATTAGTACTAATTTTGTCGTTTGTTGAGGAATAAGATGACTCTACTCGACCTTCCACTTAAAGAACTAGGCCCAACACGTTTTGGGCTGATCTGTTTACGGGTTTGCCCCCAGGACACACCTTTATACCTTTTACCATCTTCTCTAAAATAGGCTATCATTCATAATTGAGGAAACTACCTCAATAATCAACCCATTTCCCGACAGAGTTTCACGAAATCTTCCATATTTTCCTTCAGTTACTTTCGAAAATAACTCGTAAATTTTATTATTATCGTCCCTCAATGGTTGTCTACTTATCCGAGATTCCATTATCAGGAAATATATCAACGACTTCTTGTACTAATTTCTCCTTGCATGGATCTACTTCTTGTTACTAAATTGGTAAGAATGTTGTCCCATAAATAACTTTTCTATATAGTTCATTGATATTGGAGCTCATGAGTCCCAGAAATAATTTTATAAAGTGCAATATTTAAAAATGTGCCAAATCGTGGTATCTAATCTTTCAAGGATATAAAAGTGAGCACAGTTTGACAGTACTAACTAGGGCTGTCCGTGGGTCGGTTCGGTTCGGTTCTGAAGATACCCGAACCGACCCAAAACTTTCGGGTATTTAATAAATGGACCCGTCGGGTCCAAATATAATTATGGAACCGTTCGGGTTCGGTTNGCCGAAAGGCCTATCGTATTAGGGGAGGGGGGGGGGGGGGGGGGGCATGGGCAGGTTTTTGGCTAGAAGAACAGACCTAGAGATGAATATTTTGTACAGTTTGAGTATTCTTGCAATTACCTTTTTTAAAGAATGTCAATAAATGGAGACATCTAGTTTACAATCCACAAGTGACACGTGTCTTTTTGATTTGGTAAACAGTCTCTTTCGTTGAGCATTCCCGCAACATTGCACATCGATAATTACCCACATCAAGTTGTTTTAAAATTGAGTTAATTTTAAAAAGATGAAAAAAAATCCAATAGAATTAAAACTTTTCTTTTGCTAAATCAATTGCAAAATTATCGTTTTCTAGAATTCTCAATACATGTTGTACATCTTCATAGTTAAATTTTCATAACCTCTCCTCGTTACTATATTATTACAGTACAGATTTATGCATCAGATTCCATTGCCTACTTGAAGTAAGGTACCGATATTTAGCCAAAATTTCGTAGAAATTAAAATTTAGATTTTTAATCTAAGTCAAAGCCAACAACTAATTTTAACCACATATTTTATGGGATCCAAAACTTTTTGATCACACATTTATCAACTTTTATCAAAAATTATTAAAAAAATTGATTTTAATCCATATCAAACAAGGGCTTAGATGCTTAGTCTTACTTTTGGGGATAATTTTGAGCACGTATAGTTTTGAAATATATCATAAGTACTAATTTTGTCGTTTGTTCACTAAAAATGAGAGAAATAAGATGACTCCACTCGACCTTCCACTTAAAGAACTAGGCCCAACACGTTTTGGGCTGATCTGTTTATGGGTTGCCCCCAGGACACACCTGTATACCTTTTACTATCTTCTAAAATAGGTTATCATTCATAATTGAGGAAACCACCTCAATTATCAACCCATTTCCCGGCAGAGTTTCACGAAATCTTCCATATTTTCCTTCAGTTACTTTCGAAAATGACTTGTAAATTTTATTATTATCGTCCCTCAATGGTTGTCTACTTGTCCGAGATTCCATTATCAGGAAGTATATCAACGGCTTCTTGTACTAATTTCTCCTTGCATGGATCTACTACTCATTATTAAATTGGTAAGAGTGTTGTCCCATAAATAACTTTTCTATATAGTTCATTGATATTGGAGCTCATTAGTCCCAGAAATAATTTTATAAAGTGCAATATTTAAAAAAAAGAAAAAAAAAACTTTAAAACATGTGCCAAATCGTAGTATCTAATCTTTCAAGAATACAAAAGTGAGCACAGTTTGACAGTACTAATTGATCTGGCTCACACTTTATAACAAGCTGAAACAGATGCAAGGTTTGCTAACCAGACAACATCGGATGCAACTGCCACGTCATCCTGGTTCCGATGCCACGTCCACTGTGCATGGGTCCCATTTACTACCTCAAACTCCCCATGACCAAAACTTGCCTCCCTAAAAACGGATATTTTTGGCTGTGGGCTTATATATCTGTCAAAATAGAAAATATTAATGTGAAAATTATATTTCTTTTTTCCTATTAATGATATGAAAGAATACTTTTGGAGGAAAATTAACTCATTACTTCGTGGCAAGGCCTTCGCGATTGCCTCCATCACCAATTGTGATGTGCACCGGACCACATTGGTGGGCTTGATCCTTGTAGACGTTCGTCTAATCTCGCAATATATCACGTAAAAAGTAGTAGTATAGATAAATTACATTATTAGTTACTGTAACACTAACCTCAACATTGTCACGATTATCAATATTGATATTGTTAATAAAAGGGAAAGAAGGCTTACAAATCGTTCATAGGCATGTACATGTCCTGCAAAGACAACGTCGACTCGTGCCCTATAGAGCAAATCTTCCATGGAGCTTTTCATGCCAATTGATTCATATTCTCCTTGATGAGCTTCATTAGAATTGTACCACGGAGCATGTATCAAGGCAATTAGCCACGGTGTTTTTCTCCGATCCACCTTTTTCAAATCGGCTTGCAGCCAATTATACTGTGCGGAATCGTGCCCAAATTCAGTATACGAACCCAACATTAAGACATGAACACCAGAAACTTCAAAAGAGTAGAATAAATTAGAAGATGAGCCACTCTCCTCATATGGCATAACCCATCTCGCATTGTACGATGTGAAGGGCTCCTGATGGATTCCAGGGATTTCTTCAATCTCATGGTTACCTTGCGTAACCATCCAGGGACGTTTACTTGCCATCGGCTGAACAATTTGCCCGAATGTGTCCCACCACGGCTGGTACATGTCCGCGTAAGACAAATCACCAGGCAACAACAAAACATCGTAGTTTGATTTCTCAATGTGTTGAAGTGTCGAGTTTGTCCACTCGGTTTGTCCTAGGTCACCTGCACTAAGCGATGGAGCACTTTAACCGTGAATTCAAATCTCATCACCACTCATTTACCATAATTTGTACACATTACAAGTCTATGATAAGAAAATGAACTGTACCCTTGAGACCTACACAATTTTCATAATATCCCAGTTTAAGTTCAAGAAATTGTCTACTACTTGTACCTGAGACTGCAAATTTGATAGGAAAACTTGCTGGTGGAGTTTTGAAGGAGAATTCTGGGGAATAATTTGTGCCACAAATGTAGTAGTACACAGTGTCTGGGTTCAAAGGGCCAATGACAACGTCGTGTATTACCCCAGAATTATAAGTAAAATAGTGGTACACATTGGTACTCCCTTTTGCTGAAAACTTGTAGTCTCCAGAAGATGTACCATATTTGACAATAGCTGGTGTGTCATCAGAAGTAATCCAAGATATTCTCATTTTGTTTGTACCGCTCAAAGATATGTGCACCTGTTGCCATCATGGGACAGAAATACAATGTCGTGAATAATAATTAGAAGGGTAAAAAACCTGAATAGACTCGAAATTATAAGCTGTGAGCGGAAAGTATCCACAAATTTTAAACGGTTTTGCTACCGGTACATCAAGATGTACATCGGGGTGTACACCCCCTCACATGGGGTTAGAGCCCACTTCAATAAAAAAATATTTTACACAGGTGGACCCCACCCTCCATGTGAGTGGGGTGAACACCCTTATGTACAATTTTTAATGTACAAATAGAATAATTCAATTTTAAATTGACCTCTCATAGTCTCTTAACTTTAAGTCACGAACCTCGTTAGTAACAAAAAAAAAAAAAAATTCGGTTCAAATTTACTGATGGATGTCCTACTTAAACAACGGATTGTTGATGTACAAAGGTTACAGAGATAAAATCAGATCATCATCAATTTTTTGAAGTACTTTTAACACTCCAAGTATATTAAAAGTGTATTTATTATGAGTTGTTCTACATGTACAAGATGTGAATTTACCGACAACTCACACGGGGGAGATTCTTTTAATTTTTTTTTTTATTGAGGTGGGGGAGCCACCTCTATGGGAGTTGTCCCTGTACATGCAAAACAAATCATTTATCATGGAAGAAAATGGTGTTGTTTATCCTTATTAGCTTAATAGGTGTCCAAATAACGTCAAATAGAATGTCACGTCATCAATTCGTTGTCAAGTATACCCCATGTTAGCAATTTAGGTGGAATTCATTTTTTGGGACTAATGAGGTTGATGACTCAAAGTTAAGGGACTATTGAAGTCCAATTTAAAGTTTCGAAACTTTTTTTTTTTTTGAATATAATGTAAAGTCTAGGGATTATTCAGATTTTTCACTCATAAATAGAAAAGAAATAGTATACGGTCGAATTAGAACTAATAATTACGATAAATTGTAGATTGAATCTATCACGCTGGCGATATTGTTTGTTTGAATTATTTTTTAATAAATAAATCGACTATAATTTCAAGTTTATTAGAGATATAATGTTATGCAATATAGATATCATGCTAAATTATTCCCTTTATCGAGTTTATTTTATAAAGCAAAATTCAAAGATAATCTTAAATTGGTCATCTAATATGGGAAAGCGAGGAGATGTTTAAACAACTTTTTATGCAGTATCAAGGATGAAAAAGAATTAAAATATTATACATTTTAATTAACACATCCAATAAGTTAAACCGACTTATTTATTACTTGTAGAATAATAATATTAGAGGAAAAGCGAAAATACATAAATTTATTAAAAGGTAAAATTTACCTACATAAAAGAATTTTCAAAAATAAATATTTTTATTTATAAGTCCAAGATAAAATCACTTTTTTTCTTGGAAACGCTTTCACACTACAACTGCATTTAAAAAATGTTATTTATCCTCGCTCGCGTATTAACTATTAAGTGTGAAAGTAACGTCAAATAGGATGCCACATCATCAATTCATTGTCCAAGTAGGACACGCATTAGTAATTTTAGACGAAATTCATTTTTTGGGGCTAATGAGGTTTCATGACTCAAAATAATGGACTAGTGAAGTACAATTTAAAGTTTAGGGACTTTTTCAAACATAGTGCAAAGCTAGGGACCAATCAGATCTTTTACACACAAAAAATAATAAACAGGTAGAATTAGAACTAACAATTATGCTTAAAAAGAACTATAATATTCTATATTTTTTAGAGAATGCTTAAAAATAAGCACTAGCATCTTCAAACATAAGATCATCTCTATTTTAAAGGGTTCATTCTTAAAATTATGTTCTAATAGGCTCTTCAAATTAACATTTAAAATAGACAGTGATTAAATACATTTAAAGTATTTCAATTTTCAATGTAAGAAAATAATATAATAATTTGGACGGAAACTAGTGAAAATGGAAGATAGAGAAAAATAATAAATATTTTTTGAGAATAATAAAATTAAGTGTCTGTTGAAATACATAAAATTTTTCTAACTGTACGCTTTATACATTAACAAATGCTTAATTATTCCTCTCAAATAATGATATTTGCATAAAGAGTTTGTTTTGTTTAGTTCAACAACCCATAATTGGTAGCTTCCGTTGAATAAATGGCAGAAAAACCATGTAATGAGATAAGATGCAGCAATTCTTACATTGTACAAGGCAAAGACTACTTGACCAAAGTGTCACATATTTAGTGCAAATTAAGAACATTTGTCAACTACATGACCTAAAAAATTCGAGACCCAAATTGGATTCGTGGACTAATTCATAGGGTTTAATTATTTTACAGAGAAAATATATTTTAAAAAAATAAATTTCAAGAAAAAAAAGTTTTGAAGAATCTCTAGCAAACAAGGCTTAATGAAAATGAACTTATTAATGATATGTTTGATGCAATTTAGCTATGTATGCACAGAAGTTTGCAATTATAACTTGCAATCGTAAAATGAGCGGCAAAGGGATAGAAATGAAGAAGAAAATTAAGGAAGGAAAATAAGAGGGGTGCAGATTGATACCTGTTGTGGAGAAGCTGGATCCTGTTCATAAAGATCTTTCATGAGTGGTTCAGAGAGAGACTTCCGGCGCGGCGGTCGGTCATATGAAAAACCAAAATCAACAGCTCCGGCAAAGGCCAAAGCCAGTGCCAAGATCATAACCAAGTTATTAACAGCCATGGCAACTCCCGAAGAAAGACAGAGAGAGAGAGAGAGAGATGGCCTATTTAATGTGAATGCTCAGGATCTTATGAGCACTTTTTGAATTGGGGGCATGAAAAGACAACCTTGTCGTCTTTCTTGGCAGGTTTGGTTGTCACGGTTTTACCTACGGTAACGTGCATGAGTTGGCACTGCGGCTACGGAATTTGTCTGATTCCCATAAGGAATTATCCTAAGATATCATATCGTGTATGATATGTTAAATCTAGATAATTGTTGGAACATTTAGAGCTTACTTCACAACCATTAATTTATTTTATAATTTGCTACAAAATCATTTTCAACCACATATTCACAGAATAAAATATTTTACATATATATTTAAAAATTTTTCCTATTTTTTAACCACTCATCCTTTTAAAAATCGCTATTCGAAACTCCTTTTTTTTGCTACAATAATGATTAGTTGTTATGTTAGGTTTGATGTACTAAGGTTTTGTTTGGAATGACTTTTGAAAAGTCAAAATGAACTTTTGAAACCCAAAAATTGATTTTGGATTCATTTGACTAATTTTATGAAAATGCTTATTCTATTTAGAAGAACTTTTAAAGAAAAATGGTTCAATATAACTTCTTCTAAAATTACTTTCGGAATATGGAATATTTTTAAAAATTAGTTTCCAAATAAAAATTGGGTGATTAGCACATAAAATCCTCACATTTCACTGTCATTATGGAAAACGTCCGTACCTTTCATTTTTTGGCATTTTCACCTTTATTTTTACTTTTCATTGCTCAAAAGGTTTTTTTTATCTATTTTCTCAACAAAAAATTATGAAATGACGAAAATACCCTCCCTTTTAAATAAAAAAAAATTGAGCGATTACCATCATAAAAAAAAATTAGAAAATTGAGTGATTACTATCATAAAAAATAACGTCAATATTGACGTAACTATATTAATTTCAGGGATCATTGATGTAATTAATTGTGAAGAGTCATTAGAATAGATGTGTCAATGGGTCGTGGGCCGAGCCAAATTGTGAAGAGTCATTAGAATAGAGGTGTCAATCGGTCGTGGGCCGAGCCGGCATAGATGTGTCAATGGGTCGTGGGCCGAGCCGAATTGTGAAGAGTCATTAGAATAGAGGTGTCAATCGGTCGTGGGTCGAGCCGAGCCGGCTCGGCCNTATTAATAAGATATGCCTTTTTAAAAAAAAAAATGCATTTTTGGACGAGCCCACGAGCCGAGCTGGGCTCGGCTCGCCTAGCGAACCCGCCGCTCGGCTCATACTTGGGCTCGCCTTTTGACAGCCCGAACGGCTCGTAGCTCGGTGGCAACGAGCCGGCTCAGATCGATTGCCACCACTACATTAGAAGCTGGATCAATCACATAACATACGAATATAAAAATGTCAGGAAGAAATTGACAGAACAATGTTTACTGTATGTGTTATCTAAAAGATATATGTGAGACAAATTTAACATATATTTACTGTTTGTGTTATCTAAAAGATATATGTCGGGAAGAAATTGACAGAAATTTAACAAGATTTACTGTATGTGTTATCTAAACACTCGAATATCTATAAGATATATGTGAGACAAATTTTGTCGAAGATGTGTGTGAGTATCTCATGATTGACATAGAATATCATTTTATTTTTAAATTAACTAGAAATTTGTATTACTCCGAAATCCAAAGCCAATTTTATTTTATTTACCGATTTACATAAATGATTTTTTTTTACATGTAAAAAAAAAAACGAACTTAGAAAGCCAAGAGCAAAAGACAAGATTGCCCACTATCATCGTCCCTAGCTAACGTATCATTAACATCAGAAATTTGCTACATGTATATCAAGATTTATATAATAGATTACATAATATCACATGTTACTATACTATTTATCAGTTTAAAACACAATCTATTTTTTCATCATGTATATATTTTTATGTAAGTAACAAAATCATTTCAAAAATATGCCGACCACATCGTGGCAACGTGGAGTTTGATTCCTTAATTCCGTGAAAGGTGGATCGATGACGTAATCATCAAAATTGGTAGAGGTAGAGGTAGAGTTTGAAAATATGATGAAAATGATTTGACACAACATCTTTCTTTATCTCATAGTACATTCCAAGGATATTCTTAAATTCCTATTTTGAAGTATTTATAAAAACTATGCGATTGCTTTGAACTTATGTTAATTTTTTGGATTATATTTGGAGTCACGCGTTTATTGTAGAATTTTTTATGTATTTTTTTATTCAATATTTTGTGGCGTTAATATATCGACAACATTATTAACGAGATTGTCGTCACGACAATGCCATGTAGGTGATAATCGCTGATATACAAGTGTTAGAGCTTTTGTCGGCGACACCAACTACTTCTTTATCGAAGATGACGTTGTCGTCGATAATTATCGATGGAGGTGCGTATGTGATAGAACTTTTCCCTATAGTGTTTTCATACGACAACTATTTTCAATTTTCCAATTATTTTGAAAATTGATTTTCTTTCGTTGACCTAGGGAAGTTTGAGATTAGGACTAAGGCAATATTTAATTTCAGTCTACAATTATATTTTTCCTAAGAACGAGGAATTAAAAAATCTGTATAAATTATGTCCCGATCTCTTAGCACGATTCGGCTCCACCCTGTTCCTGTTCTAGTTATGCACCTTAAATTTTATCAACATCTTGAACGGTTGTTTTTATATAGATCAAATATTTTCCTCATCTATATTAAACTAAACCACCCTTATTTAATGTAGCTAAAAATAAATTTTATAATAAATTTTGAAAATAGTCGATAAAATGTGTGGTTGAGAATTTGTGAATTTCATAAAATGTGTCGTTAAAATTAATTATTGATTTTGACTTAAATTTTAATTCAGATTTTAATCTACACCAAACACGAGCTAAAATTTACATTTGACAAATTTATAAATAATTTACAAAGAAGAGTAATAGTGAATTCTTGGATGATAACGAGCAACAATAATAAATGTGTGGTTGAAATTAACGTTTGATTTTGACCGAAATTATTATATACAAACGGGGCTATACGAAAGTAATTAACAAAAAAAAAAAAAAAAATACAAAGTTAAATTCAATTTATTTTTTTCTTTTTCATATGATTGCGAGTCGCCATCTAGGTGATAACGACAGAAGCCGAACCAATAAAAAAGGGAGTAATACTATTTAATCTCATTGGTTTTATAATTTCAATCTAGATCATTTAGTCTATCACGTAATGCCACCTAAACTAACCCTACATAGCATTACTCTTCAAAAAAAATTAAAAAAAAAGCAGTTGAAAGGAACACGTATGTCCCATGTTTCACACGTGTGTAGTTATCGCTGAAGCTGTAAGCATATTATCTCATTCTCAGTTCATTTTCTTCACGCCATTGCTATCCTTTTTTTTCCAGAATTTTTGTATAAATATGTGCATACACAAATGCTGTACGCATAGAATTTCAGAATCTGATATTTTATGAACATATTTTCGCTCGAAAATGGAAATCCGGTTATCATCAAATCTCCTTGTTACGTTCTTCCTTCTTCAACTCATACAATTGTGTGCCGCGTCGGAATACACCCGTCCAAGTCCCCGGCAACTCATTTTCCGAGCACATAACCGGTCCGATTCTGAACCTCAGCAGGTTTTTTTTTCTCTCCCTAGCATTTTATGGTCATGTTATTATGCTAACATGGACAAAGTTTTTTACTAGAAAACATGGATTGTATTTTCAGGTACATGTTTCATTGGCAGGGAAAGATTATATGAGGGTTTCTTGGATTACCTCAGATAAGCACGTGAAATCCATTGTTGAATATGGAAAATCTCCGGGCAAATATGAATCATCAGCTACGGGAGAAAGAACTTCTTACCATTACTTCTTATACAGCTCTGGTGAAATTCATCATGTTAAAATTGGACCATTGGAGCCAAGTACAACTTATTACTACAGGTGTGGTGGCGCTGGCCCGGAGTTCAGCTTCCGAACTCCGCCTTCGACTTTTCCGATTGAATTCGCTGTTGTTGGTAAGTGGGTGGTGGTGGACCGGTGGTTACTGTGGTCCATGTCATTTAACAAATTACACGTTTTTGTTGGGTGCATTTTGACCTTTTGAGTATAGTTTGGTAAATTCTCTTAGTCTGAATCTTGCAAGCAAACGTTCCGATCACAGTCTTGCAAGCAAAGTACAATACCATTTCATGCATTACAAGTAACTGGTCCAATTAATTAATTTGTACAATAATGTTATACAGGAGACCTAGGACAAACCGAATGGACAGCATCAACCTTAGAACATGTTGGTGTAAAGGATTATGATGTATTTCTTCTACCTGGTGATCTTTCCTATGCTGATTCTCAGCAGCCACTATGGGACTCATTTGGGCGCCTGGTCGAACCATATGCTAGCACTAGGCCGTGGATGGTCACTGAAGGAAACCATGAAATTGAATCATTCCCAATCATTTATCCTCGTGGCTTCAAAGCCTACAATGCAAGATGGGTCATGCCACACCAAGAGAGCGGGTCCAAATCGAATCTATATTACTCATTCGACGTTGTTGGGACCCACATTATCATGCTCGGGTCATACACGGACTTTGATTCTGATTCGGATCAGTACAAGTGGCTTCAAGCTGATTTAGCGAACGTTGATAGGAAGAAGACTCCTTGGGTCGTTGTGCTCCTACACGCACCGTGGTACAATTCTAATCAAGCTCATAGAGGGGAAGGCGAAAGCATGAGGCAAGCCATGGAAGAGGTGTTGTACAAGGCACGAGTTGACGTGATCTTTGCAGGGCATGTTCACTCATATGAACGCTTTGTAAGTCATTTTTTACCCTTTTAATTCTTCGTGCAATAAAAAACTTGAGATTCAACAAATAAATGACGTCATGTGTGTCAATTGGAAGATTTTTTTATTGTTACTTCAATGTTGTCACATGTTGCAGACTAGGGTTTTTGATAACAATGCTGATCCGTGTGGTCCTGTTTATATTACCATTGGTGATGGAGGAAACAGAGAAGGGCTTGCTATGAAGTAAGTGCACAAAACTCAAGCTTGGACAATTTTAGCACACAATCCCAAAACAATGCTGCAGCCAAGACTGGGCCCGCGAGATGGCGTCAGTCGAAGGATGGGCATGTAAAGCAAGACAAAAACCTAATTACATTCAAGTCTCACCGTGCTAAGTTTTTTATTAAAAATTAAATTTTGACTAGTTCCGAAGGTCAATGTTTAAGACATAATTTGAATTCGCAACTTTGACAATTATATATTACACAATCAAAATTTCTTGAGAATTTCTACTAACCTATTTGTATAAATGTTGTTGAAGTTTTGAGAACCCTAGTCCCTCGATCTCAGTCTATCGAGAGCCAAGCTTCGGACATGGATGGTTGACAGTGTACAATAACACACATGCACAATGGTCGTGGCACAGGAACAACGAGACGAACGCAATTATTGCAGACGAGGTCTGGTTAGAAAGCTTAAGCTCCTCTACACTTTGCGGCCAAGCTACAACGCCATCAAAATCGCTTAATGATGAACTCTAAATATTATCTATTGTTGCGTATGGAATAACATTAAAGTCGATTTCTTTTAGGACTCATAAAGCATTTGTAATATATGATTATTGTTCTTACTCTAGATCACATTCAGTTTGTGATTTTTTTAGGTGGGGTTTCAATTAAGCCAAATTTATTCAATATGTAGGATTTTTTTTTTTTTTCGTATATTAATTTTGAAAAAAGTAATACATTCGTTCGCATCATCTGCAGACTAATTGACACAATGGGGATGATTAGATGGCTAATGCTTGCTATTGAGAATTAATGCTACAACATTTTAAAGCAAAGTATTGCTAAAATCTTGCAAGTAAACGGTATCATAAACAAGTAATAAAGTGTACATGAGTCCGAGTATTGATATTACGAGAATCAAATATGTTGATTTTATATTAATTTAGTTTTCAATTAAGCTAACTTTAATCAAATAATACAATTATATTTTTTTGATAACCGTGGATGTCTGGGCCAATTTGCGCGCACCTCGACTAATTTCACGAGGCCTTGAAGTTTACGGCCATTCACTCACCTCTGTGGCCCTGAAGGAATTAGAACTGGTGATCATTGTGGAGTTGATTTTATATTAATAATCGAAACCTATAACTAACCTAATTATTTAACAAGTGTAATTACTAGGTTGGGAAGCATTTATAAATACTCAAGTGACGAACTTCAAATCCCTTTATATATATTCTTCCATTTTAATATGGATCACATAACTTGACAACATTACGAATACGTTAAATCACAAAAACATTCAATGAGATCATACAAAGTATAAATAATTATGTCTAGCGTCTATAGGACTTTATAATGATTGTCATCATATTCTATCTTTCATATTCTTTTGTTCACTCGAGTTCCTCCCTTATTTGCAACATGGACCCTTCATCTCGAAATCTTTATAATTTGATCATTGCCCACAATCGATCTAATGCAAGTTTCAAAAGTTTGTAATAGAGTTCTCGGACTTTTTTAAATGTTGAATTTAGACCCCCAAAACTTGTGAATCTATCTTGATTACTCTCTTATTCTTCATTTTGATCACGTGCAATACAGTTGATTTTTTATTTTATTTTTTTAAATTCGTGAAAGCTTCGATTTGGGACATAAACAAGATGGAGTATGGGACTGTTAGTGGACTGGATTCGTGCTAGGTTAGATTTTTTTTTATCTTCTATTTTTAGTTATAATATTATTTTAACTTTTTGTAGGGCTGGGATTAAAAACTCAAAACAAAAAGGAATGCACATTTTTCACCTAGATGTGCCTTAGACAATCAAAATAGGGTTAACATTTTTCCAGCCATCCTTCTGCGAGTGTTCTTTCCGAGCTGAAGCGTACCTTTAAAACATCGTACCTAACACAGCTGTATGCAATTTCCAACTTGCAGTGGTCCTCAATGTATTTAGTGACCAAGACCAATCGATCATAAACGACGAAAATCCTGGACAACTGTGAGTAACAAGGATGGTACAACATTGTAATATTACAATTCAATGTATTACGTTATGTTTTTAGATTGTCAACACCTCTCTATAATTGTATTAAATTTTAGAATTTTACCATTTTGCTAGAAAAAATTGTAATAGATGTTATATATATATTGTTCAATATTAATAAAATGAAATAGAATGCAAAAGGAAGAAGAAACGGTAAAAGAAAAAATTTGAACCATGCAATTGACCATGCAGGCACATGGGTATATACCGAGACTTAATGTCTCAGTATGAATTGTACTGCATGGTACAAAATTCTTGGCCCTTTTTGGCAGTTTTTTACCATTGATGTTTTTGAATTTGGTGTCTTTTCACTTGTTTTTTGACACTATTTCATGCATCTAAATTTGACCTATATATTGGACGTACATTGGTGTTCATGGATTGTACATGAAAAACAAGTGAAGTTAATTTACATTCTAAATCAAAAATTAAAACTCTTTCTTTCATTCATAT